TGAACAAAGGAGAGGAAAATGGCTCTTAAGCTACGGTATGACAAATCGGACAGTGTGTATTATGTAGCCGGGTTAATGGTTGTGATTTATTCATAAGATGAACTCGTCAAACCGTTGAAATGATAGTATGAATTTACACCTAACGAAGGGCAATTTCTATCTTCAGATAAACAGAATAGATCGTGTTGAAGGAGCACTTGTTAGCTCCGATATTCGGAGTATACAACGTAGAACGAATGGCACTTAAAGAGCCTTTACAATTTTTGAAACATGCATTGTCTACACTAGATATTGGTACATAGCTCATTACCCATTACATGTACATGTATTACGAATATGATATGACGACAGGCAAGAATGCCAGTACGGATACGATGACAGGCTAGCCTGCCTGTAAGGATACGATGACAGGCCAGACTGCCTGTAATGATACGATGACAGGCCAGCCTGCCTGTAAGGATACGATGACAGGCCAGCCTGCCTGTAAGGATACGATGACAGGCCAGCCTGCCTGTAATGATACGATGACAGGCCAGGCAGCCTGTAATAATACGATGACAGGCCAGAATACCTGAGTGTACTAATGTGTTGACAGGCCAGGCTGCCTGTACGGATACGATGACAGGCCAGGCAGCCTGTAAGGATACGATGACAGGCCAGCCTGCCTGTTGCTGAAAGCTCCTAACCGTACCGTGGCGCCCTGTTGAAATTCTAGCTAACCTCGCGCCAGGGCTTGTCACGCGATGAACCCTGTTGTTTGGGCGACCCAAATCCACAAACAAACAACTGTTGTACATAGCAATACTTGTAACGCCCACAATGTGAAGTACGATGTTTTACCTAGTGGCACCATGAAATTAATGATCTGATGCAAACATGTTCCATCAAGGACAGCTTTTGTTCAAGGTATGGTCACTCTTCGCTACTTTGAAGAAAACTTTTACTGCGACTGAGTAGCGCTTTTGGAAACTTTTAAGTATTTCACCTTCTTTTCGGCTGTTTGTCCCCACGTTTTGCAGCTTTAGTATTATACATAATGTAGACATTCATGATGACTTAATCTTTGACATTTCCATCACACAGGCACACTCTGCAGACATAATCCTAGTCACAGTCTAGACTTATAATTCAGGATCTGTCTATCAAGAAGGGCGTATTATTTGGGTCTAAATGTTTGATGCACGTCCATACGTTTGCAAAACTCTACCGAAAAACTAATTCTGTGACAAGGAAACCCACTGGTTCTTCCTCGCGTTCAAACTAGCCAACAGTCAGCCCCGTTCTATAGCCGCTAGAGCGTGGTGACTCCTACAACTGTATGAGTCGCTACATTTGTTTGAGTACAGGTTTTGGGAGCCACTGGGCGATCCTGGTCGCAAACATAGCTCCACAAAGACACCCCTTCTTGCCCAGACAACCGTGCCAAAGACCCGTACCATTCAAAGTCACCGCGCCACTTGCTACCAGACAAGCGCCTTTCATTTTCTTAAAACCCCTCTCAAAGATTTATGACTTGTTTTTCCCCGCCAGAGTCACGACTACTCTAGTTTCCTAGGGAACCCCTTTCGTCAGTCTATTTTGCTACAGACGACAAAGAAAGACACAAGGAAATAACACCACGAGTTCTAAATACCAATGAAGTTCAGATTTCAAAGCACTTCCTTCCAAGAGTTTTGAAAAGCAGTTCGTGCGTTGTGTGGTTATTGTAACGGGGTAACTCAAGGACGACTTTCCCACGTAAAAAGGCATCTAGAGCCGTTGAGCTTTGATAGTAATCTGATTGGTAATGATGTTTGTATTAAACAACCCTGCTCCGTAAAGCCAGATTAAATGAGTTTAACTTCCTCGGTTTTACGTCAAGAGTAATAAGGTAACCATAGTAACTGTGTACAAAAAGGTGAAGTTATGATGGGAAAAACTGTTCTTAGATCGTATAACAGAACGTTATTTACCATCTCCAAAATCGATTTAAATACTGATGACAACATGTGCATTCGCCTACGTTTGAAATGTTAAAAGTGCCGTAAAGATATTTTGTAACGTACACTTAACACATAGTTTGTTTCTATAACGACAATCTAGACATGCAATCAGTACGTGTTTGAGACGCCTGGGCTGCACATGTCTGTTGTTTTTTTACACGTTTCGCAGCCAAGAAATTCTCAGGTGAGTAGCCCTCAGGTAAAAAAAATGGACAAGCTTGTCAGTGTAAACAAATACTTCTGTAAGTGCTTCGCATGACTTAGGTTGCCCCGTGTGCTTTTAAAATCCTCACGGCGGAACGGCCTAAATTCCATAGCTACCATTTAGCAGTCTTCGTTGAGGTGTTGGAGAAGACAAATATTCTCCTCCCAACGCTTTTCGCCTCGCGTGTTTGGGGAGATGTTTTGTGCGGTCGTACACGCGTCTTTGAAACTAGGTCGCCCGGTGGAGTGACGCTCTAGTTACCCGGACATTGTTTACTGTAAACCCCGGGGAAGCGGCCGGTACACCGTCCACGTAGCGTCGGCGGTGTTACAATGTGTTTACCTGTCAACGGAGAGCCTTGTCAGATAGAGCCTGGTAGCCATGCCATCGTAGGCTACTCGATGTCTCTTTGGTGCTGGGAAGGTTGCTCGTTTGCTCGGGTCCATCATAGCGCACGCCGTTTTTACGAAGTCGGTTTCAATTACGTCGCATACAGGCCAGTAGTAATCAGAAAGTAGCCTCTACCAGGCTACCAGAAGCGGATGGAAAGAGAGATGGAGCGGCAAACTGTCCTGCTTTAGTGGACCAATTTCCTTGCAATCTTTGACCAATTTCTTCTCTTCCCAGCCGTTTCTGAAGGATAAAGGATAAACAGAAAGGCCGACTGGAAAGATAGGCTGTTCGAAAAAAAGACCCTGTTGTCATGTGGCCTAAGCCGGTCTGTGGAGCATGGTTACCCGGCTATGTGATGAAATGGCTAACGCCTGTCTGTCTGTCTGAGACGGGACCTTTTCTCTTCTGGGGTTACCGAGAAACGCAAAGGAACTCTATAAAACACCGCACACGCACCGCACTCCACGTCAAACACGTAAAAACACTCCAGTTAATTGAGTGCATTAACATTGAACGTTGTCGCACTTGTTGCCAGGTTTCAGAGATGTATACTAGAAAAATATACGCGGCATTTATGTATATAAGATACAACGCACAAAGAACCACAGAAAAGTCGTGTCAGAAAACGTTGGATATGTTTCAACTTTGCATGTAGCATGACTGTGAGCCTAGAATACTCTCGAGCTAGAAATGCCCTACAGTAACTGTTGAATTCACTGCATTCATTGCGATTGCGTTCGCGTCTCGCACTGTCATTGCATACATAAGAGATACGTTCACAGTCTGCATAAGGTTTGACTGACGAATTATGACTATGATCTGAATTCACATAATCTTAGCCTTTATACGTTTGCATTTTGGTGAGAATATTTTCTGTGCAATTTGGATTGTAGTTATTGATTAATCGTATTGTACAAGGTGTAACATCCCTTGACCGGGTTTGTGACCTGGCGTAGTTCTCGTAATCAAAATTGGCCGTCAATCAAAATTAGTGATTCGACCAATGGGAGAAAGCCTAATGGAGGGAAGCATTTTCCCGGAAATGAGTTAACAAATCAGCAGATGACTTCCGGTTAATTCTCGTCGCAATGCATCTCGGGAATAATGTATTAAGGATGATAGAGAGGAAGGGTAGCAAGAATATCTTAGATATTCATTATTTTTGCAAGAAAAAATTAAAGTATCGTCATTCGTGTTTGTGCCGAAAAAACATAGCACTGTATATAATACGTATGCAATGTACCGCTGGCTTAAAATATCGTAAAAATGCTGGCTACATAGGCTCATTTCCTAGAGGAGGAAATTCACGGAAAAGATGCAATCTTCGTGAAAATGGGCCGCTGAGTTATCTCGCCTGAGGGCTATTTATGTTTCTGGGTCACCCATACATTAAAGATGTGAAGACTGATGACGACTGGGACTCTGGCTGACTTAGAGCTAATCGGCAGCCGTGAAAAACATGCTATCACATGCAAGATGTCATTACATAAAATGGTAGTCACATGAAATACATGAAATACCGACAAACATCGCAATTCATAACATAATCCTTGTTTTAAGTTGTCAATAGTAAATATTTTCCATAAATTTGGAGCATATGGATAGTAATAGTGATAGCTTCTTTTTGTATGATAGTCACGTTGTAATATGCTAATGACTGAAAATATACCTGTGGGACTGGGTGAGGAGTATATTAGATAAAGAAGCCCGCTCTCATTAACATCTGTGACGTTTGTTGCAAAATTACACAATGACTGTCACATCGGGTCAAAGGCCAAGAACCAATGCCCAGTAAGTAGACATCAGACATGCGCAGTAGAGCGGTGGAATTTATGGTGGTACATCTTATTTTTGTAATGGTGGTATTGGGGATCCTTTTTTCTTCAAATAAAATATACGTCGATTGACAAATTTTCACAATACTTAAAGGTGGATTCTCTGATCGTATTTTGAGTTTGAGCTGTACGTTTCTATAGTTTTGTTCGGTTCTAATAAAATGTTGGTGTTAAAAATGAATGACTTCATATTTTATGAAACTGTGACTCACAACTGAAAACACATACAAGACACTGTGTCATCAGCGGTGCTGTGGTGTGTTCATTCATATAATTGTGGTAAAAGTACGCGAATCAAACCTCTATTAATTTTGAAACTTGTAGGCAAAGTTCTATTTCTGATTCATCGGTGAATAATAGAACTTCACATCACAAGTTACCAAACTATATCACTGAATTGTTCAAGTGTCTTGTGTTGTTTTGTTTGTTTATTTTGCACTAGGTACTAGGTGCATCGTGCCTACAAAACATCATGGTGTCTATGTTATTCAATTTTACGTGTTTAATCAATAGATGAAATGTTAGAACGTTTATGTTTAAACTCTGGCTCCTTTCTTATCATCATCTTTTCTTTATTTTCCCCAGGTTCGTGAGTTGGTGAGTCGGTGCACGTGTCCTGACCAGTTCCCCATGTTACGAGTGGACGAGGGGAAGTACAGAATAGGGAACGCCAGCACTCTGGTCTTCGTACGGGTGAGTTCTATACGTCATCTCTTATTGATGTGCCGCCACGTCGGTGTACATAATGTTTCCCATTTATCATTCGTACTAGTATTTGTTTTTTGATATGTGTAAGTCTTTAGGGGGAAGGTTTGCCCGTAAGGGCGTTACAGTTTGGTTAATGTAGGTTTGACTCAGTTATTTTTTTTATTAAGATTCGCCCACAGGGGCACGGTCGTATTCGTCTTACGATCTTCATACGATCGCAAGCTAGGGCCATTCTTGGGCCGTAGGATTGTCGTGTATGCGTCTTGCAAAATTCAGCTGTCTTATTACGGAGAGCCTGACATAGATTCTTGTCGGTGGTTTGTTCTGTCGCAGCCTGTTTGAAAATCTTACGAAATCAAAATCGTACGACGAAAGTCAACGATTAACTTGTAGATTGCACTCCTTTGACAAGTCCATTACCCTAGCGATTACGTCAATATCTATATATAGAATCCACGTGTCTTCAGACTTATCGCCCAAAATCAGAGAATTCAAACAACTACAACACGAAGTATGTATCATCATTATTCTAACATACGCAAATGAACTTTAATCCAAATATGCATCGACACAGAAAAGTGTAATAAATTCAAGTCCCTCTTGGCAGTTTTGAATACCTATGAATATCTTGAGAAAAGGTGGGGAAGCTAAGCGACAGTTCTAACGTCATTCCTGTCCGGTTTACGTAGTACACACTAGGAAAGCAAAGACGCGTCAAAACCAAAACAAATATGCACTAACAGGCCTGTCAGTGGCGCATAATAGAATTCCCGCCCTTACACGCCATCTACCCGGCAGTTATGTTACAGTCCGGACACGAGGTTTGCTTTGCAGTACCTGAAGGGCTTTTCTTAATCTGACATGAGGGCTCTTAAAGACTTCACCTGTCAGGTGGCCATGGTTTCTGCATTGTGTGCTAAAAAAAATAAAACGACGTAATTCTCTGGAACAGGCGGTGTTGGCACAATGCAACTATGGGTTTGGTGGCATAATTAAGTTCTAAAAATGTGCAGTCGACAAAATCATGTTTATCTTCTGACCAGGTGAAAGGTACAATTCTGAAACTGAAATGAACCTTCAATGAAAAAAAGGGGATTTAAAGGATAGACAATGAAACGTATACGCCGTGAAAGTTGTCTAATTCAGTCAAAAGGTTCTCAGAATCTCAGCAATGTCATCATTGGACACATGCCAAAGCGATGAGTAGGCACGGTACCAAAAGAGTGCAGTGCCATCAGCATGTTTTAAGGCCCTGGCCCTGGCTCGTACATTAATTTAATTACAAAGGAAGGTCGACGATTGGTCTGGCCTTACCGCATGTCATTACTTCCTATTGCTGGGAGGACAAGTCTCAAGGGCAGATGAGGAAATAAGTTGGATGTGCGGGTGTTGAAATGCTATGTCCATTCAAGGTTAGAAGTGCACGGAATTTCTATTTGTCTGCTGTTGCTCCTTTGTTGTGAATATTCTTGGGAAACAATTTCAGTTGAAACTTTCCGGTGCAATCCAACCCCGAAGGCAAATTCACGAACCACACATCCGCGCGACCACCCCGATAGAATTTGGGAGCTTGTTAGCTTGACGACAGCCCGGCTTGCTCGAGCAAATGCCGCACGTGTTGGAGTGCTTGTTTGACCGTAATCCGAACCAATGTAGTAACCCAATCTGCGCGTTTGGTCTCAATTGGGCACTTGTCCTAACGAATAGGACGACCTTTGACTGCAAGCATTACGGTGTTGGTGAGTTTGAAGCGAGTCTGGTTGCCGGTGGTACTGCAGCGCCACCTTGCAGATTCTGTTGATACGGCAGCGCCGATGAACACGATGTAACGTTATGTGTTATGTAAGGCAGTTGTAGTGTGGGGGTCTGCATTTTTGCTCAGTCACTTCTTTGTGCATGTTAAGTAGACTTACATATTACGTAGGTTGCAGTAACTAAATATAAACCCTTGTGTTCACTAGGTTCTTCGAAACCATGTGATGATACGCGTTGGTGGCGGCTGGGACACGCTGGAACACTACTTGGACAAGCACGACCCCTGTCGGTGCATGTCTAGAGGTAAGGCGATCATTTTCATGTGAAACTTTTTTTCATGGCGAGAAGGAATACTCGTGACGCTTATGCGCTGAAATGTCTTCGTCAATTTAGTCCATTATTCTCTGTTAACTATTTGTTTTACGTGGAACCTGTAAAAGTAATGAATTTTATAGCATTCTAACGTAAATAATTTTTCTTACCTTCTGTAAACAGTACACAGACAACCTCGCAGTTTTGCCGGCTCCGCCTTCGAGCAGCGCCGCCCGAGTCCCGTCAGTTCTTCCAGCCGGTCCAGCATCAGCCCCTCCCCGCGAGCTTCCATCGACAGCGGCCGCCCCACCCGCAGCTCCCTGGACATGGGGCGGAGCTCCCGCGGGTCACTAGACAGCGGCACCCCGGCCAGAACTCCGCGGTCTTCCGTCGAAGAGCGGCGGCCCAGCTCGGGGTCTAGTCGGTACGGCGGTGGGCCGCCGTCTCGCCTGGCGGTGGACCCGGGGCCGTACCGCGCCATGAACGGGCCGCTTTCCCCCAGCAGTTCGGTATCGTCTGACACTAGTGACGTGGGAGCCCACGGTCCAATCACATCACCGTAAGTTCATACACAAATACGTACTGCTGTTAGTTAATGGGTTAACATGTCCAGCAAATGAAAAAAATTACCAATAAAGGATCAATGTCTTGGCTAAAACCGTACTTGATGTAGTGATTTATCACTAGGAAATGCGTGGCGTATTAACACAATCTGTCATATCACATTGATACCACGTACTGATGAGTTGTTTTGATGTTTGGCCATAGATACATCTGTACTGTGACTTGGCAATGTTTATCAACATTCATCATTTTGAAGTTTGTGATATCACATGATGTAATTCATAAATTTGACGGAAAGCTCTGACCTTTTCTTTGCAGACGGCAGAGGAATTTGGCGTCGTCTCCAAAGCGAGCGCGAAGTGTCGGCAACCTGCTTGAGGAAGACGCCGAAGACGTGAAGGAGAACGTGGCGCAGCGTCCGCGGCGGAGCGGCATCCCCAGACCGCTTCGGAAGAGCAGCGACAACCTGCTGGCGAAGAGTACCGGAAACCTGGCGAAGAGTACCGGAAACTTGGCGAAAAGTACCGAAAATCTCAACCGCTCGCTGCCCGCTCCTCGCGCCGTTTCTAGCCGTTCGTTACAACAACAACATCGTTCCAAAAGCATGGCTAATCTGACCAATAGGGAAGCGTATAACGAAGGCGGTCGGCGAGGCTCCGCTGGCATCTCCCCGCGTTATCGTCAACAACCTGCTGCAGTTGACAGAAATGCTGCTAGAAGTCGCTCCGACATGACAAGTAGGGACTCTAGAAATAAATCCTTCGACGCTGGCAGTAGTACTGCCAGGAGTCGATCAGATATGACAGATAGACAGACGAGAAGTAAGAGTCAGTCTCGGGAACAACAACAAAGGAAAATTTCATCCGAAAAAATGCCCAGAGCCTCTTCGGCTACGTCAAAAATATCCGAACCCAAACGATCCAAGAAAGAGGAGACTGTCTTGGTCATCTCGCGAAATAAGGAAGGGACTCACCGACTTGAGCGGGAACCATCGGACGAGAAGATCAGTTACCGGAACTGCTCTCATCCGGTGGGGTACGGGTACGCAGCAGAGGGATCCAAACGCGAGGATGGACCGAGCAGCTCAAAACCCTCCCACATACCGACTGCTTCCCCTAGGTCACGTGTGCCGGCGCCGACGAGATCTCGTTCACCAGATCACGCGAGATCAGTTGGACGTGTGCGAGAAGACCGATCTCAGTCCAGGGAGAGAAGATTAGCTGATCCTGCTGAATTTAGATCAAAGTCACCCGACAGGCGATCGCGAGAGCCTCAACAAACTGTGTGGAGACGTGACGGTAGGGTGCCGTCACCAGACCGCAGACAAACGTACCAAACATCGCCCCGCCAGTCTCCAACTCACAAAAAATCCACCGAAAAAGCCCCACCGCTAGGTCATAGATCACAGTCCTTTGATCTGTATCTAGAGTCTCACGAGCTAGACCACGAGTCTGAAGACCGGCCTGGATCACGAGGAAAGAAATTTAGTGACGTTAGAACATCTCGCGAGAGGCAAATGACGTCCCCTCGTAGGGGATCCGAACCAATCAGATCTTCGGATGGCAGATTTACTTCTCCTGAGCGGAAACGGCTACAAGAAGCCGGTAGATCTCCGTCCCCAGACCGTAAAAGACTTACTGAAGTGAGGGAAACGGAAACTAAATACTTGCCAGAGTACGTCAAGCCGTCCACAAAGGCACAGAAGGTCGTCACCGAACAACGAACCCCACCTGACTCGTTCCCAGAGTCACGCCGCACTTTTGTTGAGACTATGGAGGAAGAGGAGGAGGTCACATCTCCATCACGTGATCGTTCTCCATCCCAGGAACGCTACATGCGCCACACCCGAAGTATAGACAGACCACCTGTTAACCCCGACGTGCCCTTCTTCTACGAAAAGAACGACAAGTTGGCCCTCAAGACGGAAAAGGTCACCCCTAGTAGCGTGCAACTCATCAAAGAACTGATGGAGAAGCGAGAACAAGAGGCAAAGTTAACATCACCCACTAGAAAAGATGCCATAGACGTAGGGAAGACCGAGAGTCCATCGTTGTCTCCCACAAGGAAGACGACGCCAGACACTTCCCGTCCACTCGATCTACAAACTCGGTTATCTCCCAGAGCTTTAGCGGCTAAAGGCCAGAGCAAGACGGAAAAAGCCTCACCAGTTCTGGAAGAGAGAAGCGACTCCGAAAGTAGCTGTTCTGTCTCCTCTCCGTCCACGGATAGAAGTCCGAATGACGACACCGGGACTTTTGTGGTAGAAAGCGCGCACAGTCCGACACGTAGCCCCAAAGCGAAGGCTGCTACAAAAACAGAAGTTTCCCAACAAGCAGACGTGCGTCTCTCAGACGAGAGAGAAGAAGAACGTGTCTCTGTTCACGTCTTCAAACACATGCATTCCGATGACGATGAAAGGACGAGTGACGACGAGCTTCCAACTTTAACCGAACCTGGCCCGATGGTTGAACGAAGTTCGTCCTTCCCCTACGACGATGTCCGAACAAGTAGCGAAGACTGGGAAGACCTGGACGATTCTGGGTATCACGGGAGCGCGACGGTGACTGATGCTACGGAACTTCCGAATGGGCGATTCAAAACCGCACGCGACAAGAAACTTTCGAATCACAAAAAGGATATACACACACGAGAGCTTAGAACAGACGAAATCGAGTGCTTGGAAAGAGGATATGGGGAACAACAAAAAGACACGGTAAAGAGCCCTACCTCCCCTGAAAGACCCCGACCCGTGCCTGCACCGCGAAAGAACGTAAAGAACTCGCTTAAGGTAGAATCTCCCCCCGCCAGTCGGGAAAGCCCCGAGACCAGCCCCACCCACAAACAGAGAACGTCCAGACTCAAACCCAAGACTCGCGTCCCCTCCTTCCACAAGCTCCGCCCCCTCATCAGAGTTCCTTCCCGTAAGGACCCCAAGAAGGACGGGCTAAGCAGGATCCCCAAACCGGTGTACAGAAAGTCTCAGAGCCCGAAGGATGGGACCTCGACGTCCCCGGGACCCACCTCGCCCGTCCGCAGGACGAAGAGACACGATACGGATGACTCTGGGATCGATCTATCGACTTCGGGTAGTCGGAACTATCTGGTAAAGACGAAGAGTCCGACTGAAGACTATTCTCTCGGTAGCCCTACTAGAGGGTATGAAGTGTTCTCGGACAGTAGTCCCAGGCAGCCCGCAGACGAAAAAGTCGTGACGCCGAGAGACTCAGGAATTGACCTGTGGAACGGCAGGGGGAAGGGCACCCCTGAAAGTAGCCCCGTAAGAAGCAAGGGAGAGAATTTCAAGAAAAACGAGCCCGTCTTGAGTAGAAGCGGGCCACTCAAAGCCACACAAGACTTTGGTAAGACGTTTTCACTGAGAGATATGAACAGAAATGCCAAGAAGTATCAGTCAGCAGGCGCAAGAACGATATCTGTCAGTAAGTTCCGCTACGACAGTGAGATGAACAGTGAGTTTGACGACCAGGCGTCCTGGCCCAGGTCAGAGTCACCTGAAGGAGAGGTCATAGAGGAAGAAGTAGCGTACTTCTGATTTGTTAGATGTAGACCTAGCGTATTTCTGATTGGTTAGAGCAAGACGTATTGTAATGCTGGTTGGATAGAGAAATAAATAGCATATTTCTGATTGGTTAGAGGAAGAAGTAGCGTACTTCTGATTGGTTAGAAGAAGAAGTAGCGTAATGCTGGTTGGATAGAGCTAGAGACAGGCGTAGCATATTTCCGATAGGATGTATAGAGGAAGAAGTAGCGAATGTCTAATTGGCTCTCTACACCTAAATTATTACGGAAAACAAGATGCAGACGACATTGCTTTCCCTCTACCGGTTAGAGGGACATTTTAACGGATACTAGTACATAACCGGAGCTAATTATGATATTTAGTTCACGGCAACAGCGATCTTTGTGCTGGAACCGAGATTGGAGGTTGCCTCAATGTATAAGTATAGAAACGTAACTTAAATGTTTGGTGCCAAAATGTGGCGGGATAGATGTTTGTTTTCTAATGTCATCAATGCTCAAGTAAGGCGGAAAGGGTCTGGGAAGGGGTTTGTAGGAATGGTGCCACTCTTCCGTGACTTCAAGATGAATCGTAAGATGTTGTCAGGTTTGATATGGCTTATGTGGGACGTAGGAAGTAGAAAATACACAAAGTTCTGTCTTGGGAAGGTTTGAACCATGGAAAGGCCGGCTGTTTAACACCGCATCCAAACGTAAGGGTAGTCCAAAACATGCAGTACTAATAACTCTAACATACGAAAAACAGGAACTTTGCCATATTTGCTGCTTTTACAACGAAATCATTTATTTTCAGTCCGCTATATATACGTGTATTTTTAATTAACAGTTGTTACAAGCCTGAGTAATCATCGTAACATTTGTGTTGTTGCCTTCAGCGCTTAACAAGTCTACCTCCATGTTGTCACGTAATTGTTTTATCTCAGCCATTTATTGTACGCTGAAAGAAAAGTAACATATACATAAACTAGAAATATCTATCGGATTACTGATTATACGTAACATATTGCACCGAGTGCAGCTTTAAAAACCATGGCACTGAAGTACCATGGCATTGAAATATTAGAAGCTTGACAAATGTTAGCTGCAGAGTAATCGCTTTGTAGGATTCTTAATCCATGATTTCAATGACTTGGTTAAAAATTGATATCTCTTTGTTATACGCATACATGCCATAACATATTTTTGTACATTTTGCCATGTATATATCTATATATGATTTGATTATTTCTGAAGAGACTTGTCATTACGGGTGACGTAAGTTTTGTGTAAGTAGAGATTTTGTTGATTGTTGAGATAATGAGACGCGCACGTTTTGTGTACACGGACCTTGGGTGACAATAAACAGCGTGAAATGAAAGCGAACCTTGTGTGTCTGCTGTTTGGTATATCTCCGCTAGGTGACGCTACTACACGTCCGTAAAATCACCAGCTACTCTTTGAATACATTTTACAAACGTTTTAAAATGCAATCCTATATTATCATTTCGATACCAGTTAGGGAGAAACCCCAACTATTGCAACGCTGATACATTTTCGTCCTATTTTGCTCTAATCTCGAATAATATGTCCTTTTAAGTTCTGAAATCGTAGCAAATCTCTACCGATTATGTGCACATGTGTAAGCTAAGGTATATACGGGAAATCCGTATATACTGTTACGGGCTGGGCTGAATGTAAATGATCTTGATGAAGACATTCTGAATACAAGGATAACAGACAAAGAACACACAGGACAACGTAGGCTCACACTCGTGACAGCCGTTTGGCGTCCTGATCAAGAAGTCCTGATCTGGTCATGCCTCCGCCACGACGGTCTGCCTTGATCCGGGTCTTCTTCACGTTGAAAACCTGAAATGGACACAGCAACTGTGGTTATGTTTGTGAGAAGGGGATTGTTCAGTACCAAGGACAGGCACGTTTGTGTGATGGGGAGTGGGTTCAGTACCAAGGACAGGCACGTTTGTGTGAGAGGGGATTGTTCAGTACCAAGGACAGACACGTTTGTGTGAGAGGGGGAGTGTTCAGTACCAAGGATATGCACTTTTGTGTGAGAGGCGAGTGTTCAGTACCAAGGACAGGCACGTTTGTGTGAGAGGGGGAGTGTTCAGTACCAAGGACAGGCACGTTTGTGTGAGAGAGGGAGTGTCCATTACCAAGGACAGGCACGTTTGTGTGAGAGGGGAGTGTTCAGTACCAAGGACAGACACGTCTGTGTGAGAGGGTGTTTGTTCGTTGCCAAAGACATGCACATTTGTTCAGGGTTCATTATCGGCTCTGAAGGTAAACATAATTCATGTCTGGTTCTGGAAATATTTTGTCAGAGTCTCTTATACAGCAACGTATGTTTGTACAACGAAGATTTCACTGCCAGAAACATTTTAACGAGTTAAACTCAAAAACGTCTAAGTGCTGCCTACACGGTCGATCCAGCTTCTCCTGTGTTTGGCCGTCCAGTTTGGCACCTGGAAGTACCGATCACCCACAATCCTCCCGAACTCTGACTCTACCTCCAGGATGTACTCAACCTGGTGAATAAAAAAAAATCGGACAATAAAAAACCTCTTACTGCGTTCAGAGTTTCAATTTTTTATGTTATCCTTTTCTTTTCCTTTTACTTTGCGGCAAAGCTACAATCTATATTGCTAGTATCTAAGTACTGTGGAAATGTGAAAATGTAATATAAATCTGCATAAATGACATCCTATTGGCTATCTTCGTAAGGTGCAAACCTGCTGTATGCGCTGTTCCAACGAGGCTTCCTGGTCAATTGTGTGGGTGTCGTCAACAGCCAGCGCCACCTGTCGGAATAAAATGGCATTCCACATTTGACCAAGACGTCGCTACGGTGGTTTGCACTGGCTTGCAAATGCCGTGTAAAATATATTTAAATCAGGCCCATATTTTTTTTCTAAAAGTGCATTTATGAATCAAGTAACATCATACCCTCCCAACCACCCAAAGGTATTTTAAAGATAATAATTCAGAAAAAAAACATGGTAGAGAGAAGAAGTCTAGAGGTGATCGTACCAAGAGATTCATGACGACAATGTTCATCAGCAACACGAACAGCATGAGGACCAGCAGGACCACGGTTCTACTCCACTCGGGCTTGTAGACCACCATCTTTGAAATGAAGGACTCGTTCAACTCCAGTTCTCCGATCATCATACCAACGGTCGTCACGAAAGTCCTCCCAAAGTTGGAGAACCCCTCAACCTAGACACGACGGCAAATAAATCGCGTACGGTTAGATGTCCTATTAATATGTTGTTTAGCCTTTCAGTCTTGTTATGACCCTACATAATTATGTAGCCGATATTATCATTTCATAGTATTATTTGATATATTGTCTTAATGTCGAACTGTGTTATTACTGGATTATTAGTGTGTAGTCATATTCAAGACATGTTGTGTTTTTATCGAATAACTTAATTTAAATTTGTTCTGCCATAAATGTTGAAAGCGTAAATTGTACAGCAAGACATAATTTAGCCAATGGTGACAAGTTCTTGTTTGTTTTTATGAATGAACCATTGATTGATTGATTGATTGATCTATCGATCGATCGATCGATCGATTGGTTGGTTGATTGGTTGGAACAGGCAATATATAAAAAAAATGAAAGTGGATCATTTCCACGGGGGGCGATATTGACTTCCAACAACCAATTGCTATCGCCACATGTTCGGCGATTCTGACAGATCTCAATTTCTGCCTGACGCACATGTCTATATATGTGGCATAACCGAATCACAGTTTGGTTTGAAAAGAAAACCACATGCTCCACTCACACCAATAACGTCATGACTGAGGTAGAGAATTACTGTATGCAAATAAAGAGCTGGTTTTACCCCAGACTTGCCCATGAGGTGGTAGAAGGCAAAGCTGAAGGCGATGAGGTACAGCATGAACACGGTCAGCACCTTCACCAGGGTCTTAAAGATGGCGCTCATCATGTACACGTACAGACCAATGATGGCGATCCTGGGAGCAAACACATCCGGGTCAAATGGAAAAAAGTTTTTTTTTGTGTGTGGGTCAAAAGATTTCAATACGCAGGTTCATCTCACCAGCAAGCAAAAAAACAACAACAACAGATATAGTAGACAGGTAAGGATGGCATGTTGATGAAAGAAATAAAGGTAAAGATACTTTTTTCAGGCAGTAGGGGCAGTGAGTTGTCAGTCCACTGTATCTAAGGGCACGGCATTTGAAGGCGGAGCCCACCCCTCCCCCTCCACCACCTTTTACCGATCGCATCTTACCTGGGTGAGGTGCGAAAAGTCGTCCCAAGGACACACCGTCTAGACAGGAATGCCAGGAATCGAACCCATGACCTCTCGGTTTCGTGTTCGCAAGCCTATTGCAACAAGGCCATTCAACACCACAGAAAGAAAATACCTTCTGAGAAACAGGACGAAGATGAGCCAGCCGAACAGCACGGCGACGGCCCCCACCACGACCCGGGACGACTCGTCCCTGCCCATGACGACGGGGACCGGGAAACTCAGCGCGTACACGAAGGCACTGACGCACAGGGTAAACTTCATCAGGTTCCGGATCAGTATGTAGCGTCTTCTCTGAAAACATCAGACGCATTCTGTTATGTACTAACTCCGTCTTCCCTGTATCGTAGACGCATCAGCTTTGTAATAAATCAAGAGGTTCTCTTATGAGCCATTCAGCTAAATTACCTTCGCCTAAAAGGTTATGTTTAAGGTATGTGTTTGGTTTGTATGTGTGTATGGACGCATGGATCGATGGATATATAATGTTTGTTTGGAGGTATGTGGTTTAGCACAATAACTTAAAAAGCAATGGATGGATTGTCATGGAATTTGGCTGGTAGGTAGATCTTTACCAACCAAAGAAATGATTAGACTTTGGACCCCCTTGCGGCGTGTCTTGGTACTGAAGCAGACTGTCCAGTTACGACTTTATGTGGTGCAGGTTTTGGGCCCGTAGGACCTTTTTTGCCATTTATTGCATGCCTATCGTTACATAACAATAAAATTATAATGATAACAACTGAAAATATTTTCTTTTTTCTAAGATCAATTGTAGGTCAATTGTGGAACGTACCCGTGAATAGACTTTGTAAGCCTCCAAAACCAGACAAAGCACCGAGAAAACCAAGACTATGTACGGCAAGGCGCAGTCGGAGGAGCGCGCCTGGAAATAAACAGAGGATCACAGATAAGGGGTCGGTCACATACATCGGCGTTAGGCCGGCCACACTGACTTGATTCTAAGTATGACATCCAACGAATCCGGAGACCCCAAAACTAATTCGAGAGGGCGAAAATTCAGCAAATGCTAACCATGCTACAAAGCTGGTAACGTAACAATCATTTTAGCTTGGCAACATAAAGTAGCAAAAAAACGTCAATGCCTTAACGTTACTTAATATTTTCACATAAATACCACATACAAGAAACATTCAATCGTCGCCACGGCAATGGTTTTTATTTTTTTTGTTGCCTGTCTTGCTTTTTTTTATATTCCTTAAATGAAATTATATATACTTTTCCCTGGCACACGCCACGTGTCTGGATGGAAGTGCCGTTCTCAGCTGACTGATCATGCACGTGTCTGAAGCCGTTCACAAGGTCATCCTCCCTCAAGGTCAAGACGGTGATCAGCAGGACATAGACGATGTGCATCAGAAGACCTGCCAGGAAGATCTTCATTCCAAACGCGTTCCTTGGAAGACGATACGCGTGTCTTTAAGTTTGTGACTCATTTTCGACATGTCAGTTGGATGAGCCTATACAATATGTATTGTAGTCATGTCTACAAAAAAGTGCCTTCGGTGAAATTCACAACAGTACCGTACGGGGGCGCCATTGCCACGCAATTATGACAACCTTTTGTAGGTATGATGAGGCAAGTGCATGTATATTTCCCACCTACCATTTGCGCTCTATGATCTTCTCTACCAGGCCGTGCTGGAGGCACTGCCAGCGGCCGTGGTCGATCATGGCCTGCAAAGGACGACAGGATGAAGACATCTCTATCTCATTTGATGACACTTTTATATTTATCAAGTCTTCAGATAAAGTATTACATTCGTACGTCTGCTACGAGTAATAAGTTGCATTCTTCGTCGTAGGTCGTCGTACGACTTGGAAATGCTGTAGAATATTCAACCAAACAAAACAAACTGCCGACAAGGATCTACGGCAGACATTTTCGTAATAAGACAGCTTACGAATTTTACTGGACTCATTGACAATGACATTGACGATAATCCCAAGCATGCATTGCAGTTTGTTATCGTACAACGATCGTAGCCAACTAGAGAATTCCGGATCCTCTATAGACTTTGCTTCGTAGCTGACTAAACTAGATCTCCAGGTTTTGCATCAAACATTTACTCATTAGTATGCTGTAGAAGTTAATTTGTTTTCTAACCTTCAGTGGCGAACTCTTAGGATCTCTCGAGTTAAGATAACTGAAGTCATATGTCCATGCCTAGGGAGAAAGTCAGATTGGAATAAGCAATTGCACATATAAACATTGTAAAAAAGGTAAAGCAAATAATTCTATTCAAGTGAGGTGAGGTGAAGCATTGTACTTCGTCAGCGAGCTTATACTGCAATGCGGCTTCGCTACAGCTTGTATTTCAATTAATAACCACTCTCATTTGTTGTGTCTATGATATAGTTGCATTTATGAAGATCTCTTGTAATACTTGCTAGAAAGCGAAAAAAAGTCTTTTGCTACTTAAAGCTAAAAACGCACCTTCCTCTTATCCGTAACGTCATAAGGATTGACCACCTCTCCCTCCTTGTCAACCATTCTGTCCATAAACTCCTGAGGTTTGAACAAAGACAAAGGTAACCTTATCTTAGTGTTGTATTAAGATATCTGTCGTTTTTCTACATGTAGACCTGTGTGTAAATGAATAAAACAAGCAATTTCTGAATATACCCTGAACGTTTCTACACAAATACCAGCAAGGTAAATAGAACTACACTAATGAGAATGCAACTATATGATTCACGAGAAAGACACATCAGCTTTTACACCTACATGACGGCAAATTGCATTGTCAATAATTTTGAGCTCTATGTTGAAGTAGATGAAACATTGTTACAGTAAAATATTGTTACCACTGCCGCGTCTGGAATAGTCTTGACAATGTTGTAGAGCTGAGGCATGTTCCCGGAGTGGCTGGCGTCCTCTGGATGCTTCAGGACTTTGCGCCATCTGGACAAAACATATAGCAGGAAATGAGATAACCTTTTCTGGGACGTTTCTTGGACCTAGTTTCTAGGGCCTAGCATGTGGAAATAACTAAAGAAACACTAGCAAAGAAACAGATACATCAGAAAAAAACTTCATACACGGAGATGGTTAAAATACTAAATCTACCGTGACTTACAGTTTGTGTTTGGCCATGGCTATGGCCGCCTCCTGCGCGTCTGCCTCGATGGCGACGTCCAGGGCGTTCTGTCCTTTGTTGTTCTCCCGCATGGCGGCGCCCTCCTCTGGACGGTTCCCTTCGTACAGCAGAGCGTCGATGAGGTGGTCGTGATTCTTGCGAGCAGCCACGTGCAAGGGCGTGTCCTGGCATGCACGAAATAAGAGGCAATATATACATCATGTCAGTTAGACCATCATCCCTCAGGCAGCCGAGACGGGGGCCGACACTGACTGCCGCTGTTGACGTCACACTTCCCCAGGTCATATGACTTAGGCTTCTAGTCATTCTAAGTTGAGAAGGGCCAGAGTAACTGACCGAAAGCTCGTTGGGAAAAAGTTACAAACATGCACTACTAGAAAGGAATTTGGCAAAAACACGCATAAAACACTGAAACTGAACCCTTACATCTGCTTGGAGAACAGGTGTCAAAGTGCATAAATTGTCTAGTGTATTATCGTATGCAGATAAGTGTGCGGTTTTACCCCGTTGACGTCGGTCCAGTGAAGGGACTCCCGGTGAACCTCGAGCAGCGTCATGACCGTCTTCAGACTCCCGGACTTCACGGCCAGGTGGAGCGGGCTGGAGCCGTCCATGGTCCTGAACAAAAGGTTCCACATTTTCGTCGTCAAACCATGAAAGACGACACAGTTGACTAGCCTGGATGGCAGCTTTAGAAAGTCTATTACTTAAAAAAGACTACAAAAGGTGGGAAAACAAAATGTGTTTCACTAGTTGGCTAGCCTGGATGGCAGCTTTAGAAAGTCTATTACTTAGAAAAGACTAGAAAAGGTTGAAAACCAAAATGTGTTTCACGTACTCGGTGATGGCTGCTTGGCTGTTGAGCAGAAGACGCACGATGCGATGGTGGCCGTGAGCAGCAGCCTCGTGAAGAGCCTGGCGACCCAGGCTATCCTCGGCCTTCACCAGCGTCTTACGGTCCTGCGCATCGTCCACCATCAGTAAAACTTCCGCCACATCCAGGTGGCCGTGCCTAGATGTACAGGAGGCAATGTGGCTTTTAGTTTTACTTTACAGTCAGAAACAATGTTGCACATAAACAAGTGGCCGTGCCCACTCACGTTCAGAAGTCCACGTGGCTTTTAGTTTTACTATACAGTCAAAGATAATTTTGCACATAAAGTTGCACAATGTCCTTCAAAAATATCTCTTCAAGCCTCGATCACATTCATCGGGTGATGCTTCCACGATGGTATTTTTTTCAGTCACAGTCGTGTCGAACGTTGTAGATTTCAGAAGAAACGGATGCAATAGTTTAATTCTTGCACCCGTTTCTTCTCAAATCGACGATGACATACCCTCCATCGTAGGTGCGCCGTAAAGAAATAATAGCTACAATTGTACATGCCAACTTGTAGCCAATGATCTATACACACTATACTGTATTTGTTTTGGTGCCTGAAGAGTGAAGAGTAGAGTATACAGAGACTAAGCATAGCATGGACCAGGATAAACGATTTGGTTTATGTGCATCGATCCAGAAGAGATCAGACGGTGGTTACCTGGAGGCCATGTGTAAGGCGGTCTGGTTATTGTCGTCTGATCGTTTCCTGTCAGCTCCGGCTTCAAGAAGACACTTCAAACTCTAGAACAACACAGTTTAAACATGCCTCTGTCACAGGCTATGGTTGGGAGTTACACGTAAAAGTAAACATGGTTATCTGTAGTCGGGAGTGGGTCGGGCGAAGTTGCCAAAAAGTCGTATGCAACAGCCAACTATGCACTCTGACAAATCAAACTATGGAAAGTTATATACTATTCTTCTTAGATGCGAACTGGAGTTAGGATGGATTCCAAGCTACTACCAACCCAGCACCGACCATAGTTGGGGAGTGGTCGGGAGCAAAGTCGTGAGAATGTGTGACAGGAACTTGACTGTCCAACTTACATCAATAAAGCCCGACTTTGCTGCGTAGTGCAGAGGAAGACAGCCGTTGTTGTCGCCAGCATTGATAATACGGCCAGACCTCGGATCCTATCGGGGCAAAGTTAAAATATACAGTTTCAATCTGTTATAAAGACTCCCATCAGAAAAGAAATACACAATGCGTGAAGTGATTGGACTGTCCATGGCTTCAAAATGACAGCGTGGTCACATTCGTGCGATTTTAATGTTGGATTTCTGAGCTAGCATGCTGTGACAGAACAAACCACCGGCAAGGATTTAGGACTGTTTTTCCGTAACTAGACAGCCTTACTCTGTACGACATATGCATTGCTATCTCATGATCAAGAATGCTTTAATAGTTTGCGATCGTACGATGATCTAGCGAACTGCAGCAGAACGTTAACCTGTGTAGCCGACAACCTGTACCTCCAAAAGCCTGTTGAGAACTTCCAGTGATTCCCTCTGCTCCATGACGTGATGCAGCACGTTCCTGCCGTCCCGGTCCTTCATGGTGATCTCGGCGCCGTGTTCCAGCAGCAGCGACATCTTCACCACGGAGTCCTGCCCCGCCACGCGCGCCACCAGCATCATCGGAGTACACTCGAACTTGTCGCTGAACTTCACGCTCAGCTTCTTGGAGATCTGTGGACGTCACAGTGGAATACAAAACCACTATTTATGAAACAATCAAACTGTTTTCCAACTCAAAAAAATTGACTCACCGGAATTTTTGACCGAATCGCTCAGCCCTCTTGTTATCTGAGCCAATCACTCAGGACACGTGACCTTATGCAGCACGTGTGACGTCAGCCATGGTTGTTGGTAGTCTGTATCGCCCCCCGTCTCGGTTTACAGAAACTACTTTTTGCTTGTGTAAGATACGCATATTTCGATTTCGTGACCCTGAATAGGGACATTGTCCGAAAGTTCCCCCTGGCAATAGGGTGAGGTGTCAGAAATGACTTGGGAGGTGGGAAGATTGTTCAAGTGAAAAAAAAGCCTTGAGGGACAATGTACAAACGGAGAAAAAGAAATAAACAAGAAGATAAACAAAAAGTATCTCACGTCCGAGGTGGCACGTTCTTTTCTCCGATCACTGAAAGACAAGTAGACAATACAGATTGGTTAACACTGGGATCTAGAAACAGATGGGAAGGAGTTTGGTGAACACTGAACACTACTCTGTTCAGACAAACAGACACACAAACCCACAAATCAGCCACCCAAAACAATACTTCCCACATACCCAATTCCACGGCCGCTCTTCCTCAACATGTGCTTGAAGAGTTCTGCGGAACACTGGGGACGAGAGGCCGCCAGGGTCAGAGGTGACATGGAGTAGATGTCCTGGAGGTCGATATCAGCGTTGTGGTCAAGCTGGAACACAAGATTGTGATCATTTTTATCCCATACTACAAAGTCTTTTGTAAGATAGATCTCACGATATGTCGTAGTATGGTTGTTGTTTTTGAGCATTAGATGTCATGCGTTGTTCCTAATCCAGCTGCTGTGCAATAAAGTTTCTATTTTATCATACTAACTAAGCATTACTATTTAGCGAATACATAAAAGTTACTAATTTGATAGTGAAACGCAGTGTGCAAGATAAAAGAGGAAAGTAGCTGTACATGATCATTCAGATCAAGTAGGTTATCCTAGTTCAGATACAGAACATCACGGTGTGGTATCTACGTATACGTCTGTACTTACGAGTACGCTGACCATGTCTATGTCATTACTGTTGACGGCGATGTGCAGGGCTGTTCTGTGGTCCTGTCCTGGGACGTTCACGTCCATCTGTCCAACGTCCAGCAGAATCTGCACCACGAAATGTCATTCGTGTCACACTTTAGCATGGCAAAACCACCCTCCCGAGCAGGGTTAGTAAAGTGGCTCGGCCCGAAGGGTCCTCCTCAACTAAGTTAGTTGAGGAGGACCCTTCGGGCCGAGCCACTAACCCTGCTCAGGAGGGTGGGCAAGACTGATTCAAGTACGAATCAAATCCGCAAGGTGGCGCATCGACCTTGACCATCTTTGACCAACATATCAAATAATATCACAATCTATCTATAGCTTCTTTCATGAGTTTTTCATGAGCTGGACAAAGTAGGTCGGAAATGGTAACATCTGGAACAAGAAATACATGTCTAATCAACTTGAAATGGCAAAATCCTCACGCAAAAGCAAAGAGTCAACAGCCATTTGTCAACGGAAAGGCTGGTGAGAAATGTTTCGGAGTTATGCATCACACATCAGTGCATACTTACAGCACGGAAGAGCCGCAGGGGTTTTTGGCATCACAATTAAAGATGGCATCCTACACAACGTAATACTGTGTAGACTTACTTGGTTCCTTATATGTTTGCCTCCGGCCGCGGGTACTTAAACTACAGACAGGATACTTGAACAATGTTAAGATACTTAGGATACAGGATACTTAAATAGATGTTCAGTAGAGAAGCAATGCATGATACGTTGCGGGTTTCGCGCAGGTATGTGCTCCTCAGCTCACCTGTACGAGTTCTACGTCGCCTGTCCTGACGGCCAGGTGCAGTAAGGTGTCCCCGGCGGCCGTGCGGAAGTTCTGGGCGTTGTTCTCCCGTAACTTGTCCCTCAGACCCGCCCGGTCCCGGGCCCGTATGGCCTCTACCATCCCCGTGAAGGCTAAGTCCGTGTATTGGTCAAGCGTTAAACTAGACGACATTCGAAACGACATCTGAAAAATAGTCGAGAAAACGAAAATAAATCTATGAAACTTACTTCCGCGTTTAGACTGACAACTCCCTACACACGCCTGAGGGACTGACCTTTGCTAACCCCTCCCTTCCAATACGTGCTTCCAATACTACATGTACATTTGTATCTCCATGAAGTATATGAGGTTGAGAATTAAGATCCCTTATTTTTCTTCTTGAACAAACAAAAAACCAAGTCGATATCATCTCAAAACACTGTTCAAAGTTGACAAATACAAAGAGAAAATTGATCCTTAAACTAAACTATGACCGTAGCAGGTCATTCATTATGTGACGTGGGCGAGTCGGACAATTAATCCGGCAAGATCCACAGAAAACAGGTTGAGCCATTCAAAAGGGTATGCTCGTCTAACCATGAAGAAACAACAATGGCGTCGCGAGCTGCTCGAACGAGCTTCACAAGTCGCTTTGGATATACATACACACATGTACACCTTCAGCATAAAATAGAATTTGAAAATCACCTTTTTGTCGTCCCCAACATATGGGCAACAAATGCTCTTATCGAATGCAGCTGTTTCCGCTCCTTCCTGCACTAAGATTATCGTATCTAGACTTCACTTCCTGACTCTCCAATCTTGAAGGATTTTAGGCAAAGGAAGGAACACCTACCAGGTGCGCCATTTTAGTTTCAACAAAACATGCTTTGTTGGCTCTTCACGGTGGACTCTTCTTAGATCTTTCCACGGTCTCTCAGACACACATCCACTGCATGGTACTTCTGAAACACATGCAATACTTTCGTCACCGAACATTGAAAAAAAGATTGCTTTCTTCATGGGAAATGATCGTCTGTCAGTCTGTACTGTACTATTGTTTATAACCTTTGGCCTGGCACTTAAATACTATCAGGTGTGAGGTACCCTCAGGCGTAGCCTCATACACTCTCGATCTCGTAGGTCGTCTTTTGCATGTAGTATTATATAAGCGGCAGTGTCCTCTCTACAAGCAAAAAAAATTCGTCCAAGAGAATATAGGGCTACAGAGATGTAGAAATTAAATTAAACCTGTACAACCAAGGTTATAAAGCCTCCTTGGTAAAATTTAACTACCTGAATGCAAAATGCTTAGTCAAGTATGGGTCTTACAAGGGTTAAACGGGGTTATATCTAGTGTGTGGTCCATGCTTCGAGGTCTTTGCCTCTGGTCGCAAGCATAAAGAAATCGTTTAACTGTTAGCTAAATGTAGAAAAACCTGCACGTATCCTCTAGTACCCCCGGCCCGCCAACTCAACGATTTCCGACCGAACCCGAAGGTATGTTAAACGTTACAAAAACAAAATGCACCTTTGTACTTGGTTGTTGACAGGTAATTTGATAAACAGCCCTTACAAGACTACCACTTAGCCTTAACGATACCAACACGTTAATAATGTGTACAGTTGCTGCGAAGAAACATAGAAATGTGTGTTAAGAATGTTTCATACGCACCTCAGACTGTCTTTCAAGATTTTTCACTCCATGTACGCACCAACCAGGAAGTGCCGTGGGGGTGCGGCTTGGGAAATTGTCACGAGACAACCGCTTACGAACAATTGTCTTCCTCAACTAGGGGCAGTTCTGTGTCCAAACAGAAGACCATGTACACGAAGAGTCGACTGAGTACTTTTAATTTTAACGATAAAGTACCCAGAAGTTCGCCAGTGAAAACGGAGCGCCGTACCAATACGTGCACTTAAACTAACAGGTGGTTCAAGTTGCAAGTCTTGTTTACTCAAAAATGCCAAGTACGTAGCGTCACACTGGGAGGAAAGTACGTGACAGTTCCACGAAAAAAGGAAGGACCCTTTGGCCCTAGTAGTTAAAGTAGATTACGTTACTTGACATCCTGTTCCTCCCACTAACCGGCTTCATAATATGTGCTTGATATTCAATAGCATCACATTGTTGTTTCTGAGTGAGTGGCATTACGGTGTTTTTCCATAGTCATTATTTTTTTCTAGGATTCAACTGTCTTGATTTTTGGCAACGTCTCAGGAGCGAGCCTAATAGTATCATCGTGATTGTGGTATGTAGATTGCTTAAGTGGTTACTGACCGAATCAGATGAAAATTATGCAAATCACGAGCTCATTTGCCTAATTAATGAGGAAATTGCAGAAATCTGCAGTGCCCCGACTAACCACAGCCATATTACACAAGAAATTCAGAAATAAATAAATACCACAAAATGTACTAAAACCCCTCGCCATGGCAAGTTTTTATTGCCAACCTTAATTGTTACACTTAACATCAAGTATGTAACTACCACCAAACCAACTACTTCTGTATAAGGACCACGTGGCCATTATGGACATTTAGTGGTGGTCCCTTAGGCCACACCAATTTAATTTCTTGGTTAACGGATTTTTCTAGAAAAATAATGGAGCGGGCGGACAAAAAAAAATAAAATAAAACAGGCCTAGGCATCCTATTATGGCCCAAAATGGTACAATAGGAGCCATGAAGTCAACACACCAGGCTGGTTCAAAATTTAAACAATGAATTTTGAACTTTTAATGATACCATTGCATTGAAAGATGGAATAACTGTAACAAGTAGGAAGAAAAGGACTGTTTTCAACTGTTCAGGGCAAAATATGAGCATTTGCAGTTGATTCTGAATTTTTTTTTTATTTGCAAATCAGAAAAAAATGAAGTGGCGAATCCGTTAACCAAGAAATTAAATTGGTGTGGCCTTATATCATCATTTTACTGACCAAAGCATTAAGAATCCTGTGTATTGTGGTCACTACAGAACCATTGTTTGATACATGAAAATCAGTATAAAATTAGAAAATTACAGTGACATTTGCATATTAGTCTAGCCCAACAAACTACTAAATCAAATTATGTAATTTACCAACTCAGATGAACTTTCATGCTAAATCAAATAATGTTTCTTCTTACTCAAACACCAGTACTAGTATATGGTGATCAGCCTCTCCAAGTTATGCTACAAAATGTAACCCAACACCACAGGGTCAGGTCATTGACTTGATAATTGTATGGAGGAGAAGAAGAAGAGGAAGAAGAAACTGAGCAAAAACAATGTTTTCCTTCTGCAAAGGTAAACATAATAAAGACAACTGTTTCAAGAACCAAAGAAGAATGTTACTGACAATCTAAGCACAAATATATACACATACACCATACTACTCCATAGTTATGTGATGACAAAAAAGTGTTCATTGCAAACTAAACCTGAGCTGACATTAGTTCTCACTAAAAGTGTATGAATCATGATCACAGATTGTTAAAAAAATGAGAATGAATTATTTACAACTTAACAATCTGAAGTTATGTAAATCAAAGTTGACAGTTTTACTTCTGTCTTTTTAGCGAATACCCAATACTATCTGTATTTTTAGCAAATAAAAAGACACAGCTGCCTTTAGTTTCAGGTTCTGACAGAGAAGTAGACATAACAGAAGATGCCGATACTTAAGATGCACACAAGGAGGATGTTAAGGATGATTCGCATGAGAGGTTTCTGCTCCAGGGTCTTCAGACGGTCCTTGAAGTCATCCGGCTTCTCAACGGGCTCCTTGGTCTTCTCGTTAAAGCCACAGTACCAGACAAACAGACGTTTGTACCAGGGTTGCTCTGTTACAAAAATGGAGATGTGAGAAAGGGCATTAAAGGGGGATGATAGAACACTGTGTATATGACTCATTTTCACTAAAAGGTGAATCCAAAAATTATATTAATATATAGAAATTTAATTTTTGTTTTTCATGTGATTGTTGGTTTGCTTGTGTGACGTCACGAGAAGTGAGGGGGGAAATAACTAACTTGTAACCACCGACTGACAGGAAGGTCAAATTGGCAGTCAAAATGAATCCTGAAGGATGGGTGGAGGTGACAGTGAAATATGAAATTTGCAATAATGAATGGAACAAGACATTCATAAGATCTCTTTTTAATACCTCACAGAATGACTGAAATGTTCTAGTTACCTCCATGAAATGGAAGGTATTGTTTTTGGCGCGTCTGTGTGCGTGTGTGTGTGTGTGTGTGTGTGTGTGTGTGTGTATGTGTGTTTGTGTTTCCGCTTTTTTGTACCTTCATAACTCCATAACGCATTTATGGATTGTGGTGATATTTGGTATACTGGTAGGTGTTAGGGGGGCGAAGGTCAAGGTCAAATATGGGCCTCCTGGTGTATGGCCTTGGTACTGCAGCAGCACTTCCGGTTTAATGAGGAGTCTGCCAGACAGGGTAACAGATGTCTGATTGTGTCTAGGCTGCCCCGGGCTTGCGACCTGGTTTGATTAATGAGAGGTTCTTCCTCAGGGAATAAGGCGACCTCTGTGCGCTATGATGTGGAAAATTTTAGTGTTAGGGTGGATGGACACCCAGTGTTGACGTAATTTGGCACTGAGATCTAGTTACCTCCATGAAAATAGAGGTATTGTTTTTGGCGCGTCTATGTGTGTGTGTGTGTTTGAGTTTCCGCATATTTGTAGTCAGCATAACTCCATAACGCCTTTATGGATTGTGATGATATTTGGTATGCTGGTAGGTCTCAGGAAGCCAAAGGTCAAGGTCAAATATGGGCCTCCTGGTGGATGACCTTGGTACTGCAGCAGAACTTCCGGTTTTTGTATCTTTTGTCCTGAATATGTTATGGTCTTGATTTTTGGGTGACAGATAGATTGTCCTGCCAGGAATAAGTGGTGTGGGTTTGGTCCCCCTAGCAGCTTGTTCTGAAACTGCAGGGGACTTTCGGGGGAAAATCTTTAAAAGCCAATAGGTCCAGACAGGAACAATGTATTTTCATCATTTTTGGTAGGTAGATAGCTGAGAGAGATGTACATAACTTAATGCAAATTATGCAAATGAGGATTTTATTTGCATAATAAATGAGGAAATTCTCTAATTACAGTGTTTTACATTGTAGTACTTTAATACATGTAATGTATGTAATCTTTGGCAGATGGAACATCAACAGATACCAATAATGCAAATTATGACCTCATTTGCATAATTAATGCGAAAATTCAATGGGTAAATGATGGGAATTTCCTACTTGGTGTAAATTGTAAATTCATCAAAAGTTAACATCACGATACATTAATTATGTTAATGTGGAGGTCATTTGCATAATCAAAGAGGAAATTTACATTTACACGTCAAGCCCATATTTCATGGAGGTATGTGATCTCAGATCTCTTGTTTCTATTGAAGTCTTACACTGTTTTAGATGAGACAGTGCAAAAAAATTGTAACAGTTACATTTCTGAGGTAAGAGCTTTGTAGTGATCGATGTGTAGTTCTGTGTACATTTAATATCTAATTTATTTGCTTCATCTTAAAAGTTAAAATCTAAGAAAGAATTGGATAAACTAGTACCATTTTCCACCATGACTTCGTCGGCATCCTGTATCTTGTCGTCTTTAGCCCCCTCCTCCTCCTGTAGCTGTTCTAACTTGTTCCACATCTTCACATCGTCATCTCTGATGGAACTGTTCATGTAAGTCCAGTACGTGGTGCGCACAGTCTGTAGAAAAAAATCATCTTCTATGTTGATGTTTCTGAAGACATTTATGAGAAATTTTATGACCTATAATATTTATAAATCTAAAACCTTATGATATTTTAGATTTTCATACTTCTCTGGCTTAATTAAGTTAATGACAAAGGCTGACAATTTCTTTAATACTCTTACAGCTATCTTTCAATATTGCCAGCTATGAGCACAAAAATTCTTATCTGAACTACATCAGATTCTATAGGACAAATATCATTACTCAGCTTTAAATTTCCTAACAAAATACAACTGAAGACAATTTCATTTCAACATATTAAATAATTGCCTTATAACACAGAGATGGTTTACTCCAATTTTGAATACTTTTTCTGTTAAAGTTAATACTTCTTCAGTATATTTCAGGCAATTTTTTTAAATAATCAAAGGTACAACTTCAATAAAAGGATGAAAGTATGAAGAAAATGATGATACTTACAAAATACTCTGGCAGAGGCTGTGTGAACAGGGAAATAACCACAGTTAGAATGATCGTGCAGACAAAGATGACCAGCGCGTAGTACATATAGTGCAGGGAGACGATGCCAGGGGGCGCTACTTCAGCGTGGTCTCCACAGCGGACGTCCTCGTACAGGAAGACCAGGATGGTGCGCACCAGTCCGATCAACACTCCTCCCATCAAGCCCCAGAACGCTCCCTGCAACAATAGTGCAAACAACAGTTGGAAAAATCTTCACCTCCATTACAAAGTTTACGTTTGGAAATTGGAAGTGGAAATTGTATGTACTATCATGAAATTGTATGTAGGTTTGTGAATTGGATAATTAGATGATATTTGACGTGCAGATAGAACATGGCAAAGGAACATGTGGTAAAATTCTGGAAAAAGCTAAGAAATCAATATTGAATCTGGAAAAAGGAGGAATTTTCCAACAGTTACTGTAGATTTATTCAGATTTTGGGATGGAACTTAACTTGGGGCATTTTTGAAGTTAAAACAATTCTGTAATACAGTGAGTATTGATCCATCAGATACACAAATTCCTATAATAGCATCATGAACTTGCAGTGGATAAAACATAAAAATAAAACTACAGTAACTGTGAACATTTCAAGATTTAACTATCTTGCTATCCTGCCTTAACCATCCCCCTGTTGCCTAACCCTGTGTTTAACCAAGAGATAATTGAGCCAAGCCTAGGGAATGCATTCGTGCAATTTTTGAAATTCCTTCAAAGCGATCGTAGTACTTGCACAAATGCCTCCGCCTTAAAGGCGTCGCCAAAATTTGGCCAAATACGATTAGAGATAACATGCCAGGGGAGTTGGTCTACTCCCGTTCGCCTTTAGCACACCAACTCCCCTGGTACGTTATCTATCTACCTAGTCAATGTCTACTCTTTCCAGCCGCTTCTGAAGCCTGGTAGAGGCTTGAAGAACGCAATATGGGAGTGAGTGGGTACAGCGATGATAGAATAGCGAATGGCCACTTCTAACTGATTTTCCCGGAGCACACAGCGAAGTACCAGGAACACCCGGGAGCTGTTAAGTGCCAAAGGGTTGTAGATTCTACCCGAACTCGTCTATGCGATTCGTTACGCACATTTTCTATGGAAAAGCGATTAGCGACAGAAGGGCGAAGTCAGCCGTTTACAGTGGTCTGACGATTGAGACGTCGACGAGAGGAAAGGTAGACAGGGGAAAACGGGCTCTCTTTTGAAAAACAACATCACTTAAAGCATAATGGCCTTTAAAATGATCCTTGAATTCCTTGCTTATAATTATTATAAAGGAATACATGCAGCTCCATTGCGTACAGGATAGCTCTGACATGCATAGCACTAAGTTAAGTGCTTTTACCACAAACCACGACAACAGGGAATATCACTAGTACTGCTGAAGTCCAAATTGATATTACCAGTATGTCTCTCAACAGTTTATCTTAATATTGTGTAAAAAAACGCCAGCTTAAGTTAGAAAACTAGATTAGATTGTTTTGCGCCATTGATATGTAAATTTCGATTGACTGCCCAATTGATATGTAAATCACTCAACATTCCCATCACCTGAGTGAAATCAGCCCATTTAAATTAGATTACCAACCTAAACAACTGGCTTAAACAGTATGTCACCTTATGTGACCCCAATTGTTTATGTATGTATACTTGCTACAGTCATGTTTACAATAAGAACCACGAACGTTCGCAGCCTAAACCCTAATACAGCTTCCGGTCATCTTAAAATCTCTGAACTTGAGACCCTTTTACATACAAATAAGATCTCTGTTATGGGTATCACTGAAACATGGTTATATGGAAATATCCTCCCCAATGATATTATTATTCCAGGATATAGTACCATATACAGAAAGGACAGACATGGTAAAACTGGAGGAGGTGTTGCAATTCTTATCAGTGACACCCTCACCAGTAAACGGAGAGCCGACCTAGAAACCTGTGATTCTCACTGGGAAGACCTATGGGTAGAGCTCAACGTAGCGGGCAATAAAGTCCTTCTGTCCTGTGTCTATAAACCACCATCTGCCCCTGACAGCTTCTACGATCAGTTTGAAATCTCTACCTCAAAGGCTGCAAAAGAAATGGCACTATTTGCATTATTGGAGACTTCAACTGTCATCACATAGACTGGGGAGACACAACAACAGATAACCATGCATTAAACCTTGTTGATATCATAGAGAGGTACGGCCTGTATCAGTGTCAACACCAACCAACCCGATCCACTCCTTCCCGCCAAAGTACCCTAGATCTCATCATATTGTCTGAACCATCTAGAACTAGAGGTCGGAGATCTCATGTCTTCGTCAGAGGTACATCGTTCTAGAGAAATTAACATGCGTATTCTTCACTCTTTTTACCTTCGCCAAGAAGGTTATGTTTTCGTTGGCGTTCGTGTGTCTGTGTGTGTGTGTGTGTGTCAGCACGATAACTCAAGAAGGCTATGATGGATTGTCTTGATATTTGGTAAGTGGGTAGGTCTTCATGAGACGTGAAACTGATTAGATTTTGGGCCCCCTAGCGGCTTGTTATGGTACTGCAACTGAACTTCCGGTTTTGATATCTCGTGAT